CTGCCTACCTCCCAATTTCCACAGAACAACCAGAATGATCTTTTTAAAATGTAAATTAGATTATGTCACTTCCCTGCTTTAAATCTTTCAGTGACTTAGAAGAAAATACAAGCTCCCTACTATTCTTGTAAGACTCCACGTCATCTGACCCCAGCCCGACACTGCAGCCTTGCGTTGTGCCTCTCTAGCTCACTCGCTATATCGCAGCCACACTAGTCTCATTCTCATATTCCTTGATCATCCCAAGCTCTTCCCTGCCTCATGGGCTTTGCACTTGCCACCACCTCTTCCTCAACCGTCTGCTTTCATCCCTCTGGTCTCACCTTAATTTATCACCTCCTTAGAGTTCTTTCCTGACCACTCGAAGGAAAGTAGACCCTCCTTAGTTCCTCTTAATCACAATCTTTGGTTTATTTCCTTCATGACACCAATCACCAAATGAGTTTAATGTTACATATTTATTTGTTTAATTTCCATCTCAAGTCACTAGAATGTGAAGTTTATCAGGGTTAGGACCCTAATTGTCTTGTTCACTTCAATAGCCCCAGCATGTGTCTCAGTGTTTGGTACAGAGGAGGGTCTCTGAAAATATTGAATGAATGAATGACCGAATGAAGACACTGTTCCTGTTCCCAATGGATTTAAAGTTGGTGGAATGAAATACTTCATGAACAAGCAATTATAATACGGAGTGATAGGTGCTGTAGTGGAGTTCATTGCACAGTGGTGCATGACATAGCGATACTAGAATGGGCGGAGAGATAGGAAAATATAATGCACTTTAAAGCATTTAGTTTTTGTTGTAAATATAAAATAGCACATATTTATTATAGAAAATTTGAAAACTCCAGAAAAGTGTAAAGAAGAATATATTCATCCACCATAATCTCTCTAGTGTCATTAAAAGAAAAAATTGCCTTCAATAAATTATTACCATTCCTACTTCATCTTTTGTGAATTACCTGTTGAAGTCACTTGCCAGTTTTCTTTTGGAGAGTTTATTTTGCTGATTCTTAAGAATCCTTTACACAAAACATGATATTTACCTTTTAGCTAGCATATGTATTACAGATATTATTCTCAACTTGCCATTTGACTTTTAATTGTGTTTCAGACTTTTGTTAACATACAAAACGAACTTTGACATCATAGTTATTGAGAAAGTATTGCATGTTTAAGAAATATACAATATTTCAATTTTAAGAAATTGACTTTTAAGCTTTTGTCATTAATTTCTAGCTTTAGTGAATTTGGGTAGAAAATGTATAGACTGAAACCTTACAATTTCTTCTTTGAGGGATTTATTGAAGTTATACTTTAGCCTATTATATAATCTTTTGTAAATAATCCATGTGCATTTGAACAGAAATTTCATTCTCTCTTTATATTCATTAACATGTCTAGTAAATACATTATTATTCATATTATATACTCACTTAATATCTTCATTTTTTCCTATTTGATTGGTCAGAGTCTAAGGTATGGGTTAAAGTCTTCAAGTACTGTTTGTTTTTTCCCCCATCATTTTCTCCTTTTAAGTCTGTTGACTCATGCATTTTTTTAAAATGACCGTTTTAGTTCACTTACTGGTGTTTAGTTTTCTTTTTAATTTAAATTCTACTTTGATGCTTTTACATTATTTTTGCAACAACTGTTTTCTGTTTACTTGCATTTCCTTGTTATGTCTTTGTTCAACTTGTTATATTCTTAAGGTTACTGAGTCATTCTGTTTTAGGTGTTTATCTTATAGCATACAATTAGACTTTGCTTATTTAGATAGTCTGAAGGCTTTTCTCCATTTTAACCCATTTATATTTATTGTCACAACAGAAATATTTTTTTCTTAATTTTGTCATTTTTATTACACAATTTGAATGCTTTCATGGTATTTTTTTAAACATATTTTATGTGTATTTTTAAAAATTTTTTTCTGATAGACTTTGCTTTTGGTTTTCTTTGAATTATTAAAAATATAATTAGACACATAATTCTTTATAGTAAGGTCTTCTGTTGACTTCCTCCTCTGCAGGATGAGGCAGCTATCACACTTATATTTCTGCAAACTTTCCCCCTACCCACTGCACAATTTTGTTTTTAAGTCTCTCAGAAGGACTCTTCTATCCTAGTGAATCCCTCTTCCAGAGTGGTTGTCATGCAGGTGCCAGCTGCTCTATGTTTGGTGTGACTGTCATTCCGAAGTCACTTTACATAATTCTCAGGCAGCCATGTATTGTCTCAGTGATAGGTCTTACCACCCAAGGAAGCTGCCTCTTCACAGCCATCGTCACCCTCTCCATCAGTTCCCTCTTCACTTGTAGCTGTTGGAGCTTTGGGCCCCGCTGAGACCACTGACCTCTGAATCCACTAACCTAGAGTGACCACATGGACCACAAAAAGATTCTACATGGAGCTTTTCCCATTGATGACATCACCCACCCTACATTCCATCCACAGGCTTAAACTGAGGAGTAAAGGACAGGAGGGAGAGAGTCTATTTTGTGGGATGTCGAGGTTTTAGAGATGAAAAGCAACAAAGATTTGAACCAGAGCAGTGGCATTGCTATCCAACTGGTTTTGACCTACAAAATGGTTACTTCATATGGTTCAAGGTAATAGCAGAGATGGAAAGACATGGGCAGACTTGAGAAATATGAAGAAGACAGAATCAAAAAGAAAATAAATGGGAAGAATGAGGCAGAAGGAGAAGTCCAGGCAGATGCTTAACTCTGAATCTTCAATGACTGGGTTGGGTCATAGTGCAACCCACCAAGGTCCATGTTTCAGGACGGATGGCCTGTTGGGCAATGAGGGAGATGGTTTGCTAGGGAAGCTGCTCAGATCTGTGGCATACAGATTGTGCTTGAGGATCTGTGTGACATCTAGGTGGAAATACAGATCTGTGAGCTGGATAAGTGAGACTGATGTTCAGGTGAAAGGTCTAGAGAGGAGAGCTGGGCTTGGGGATTGTCAGTGAATTGACAGCCATTGAAGGAAGAGTGTGTGCAGTAAAAAAAATGAGTAGAGGAGGCCCACATTTGAAGGGTGGATGTAGGAGGAGAAGTGCTTACAAAGAAGCCTGTGGTGGAATAGTCCCAAATTTATGAGAAAAACCATGAGAGTGATTTGTCACCTGAGCCTAAATATCAGAGAGATCTAGAAAGGAAGAAGCTATGAACATTGACAGTTGTAGAAGAATGGTCAAGTATTAATAATAATTATAGCAAACATTTGTTGAGAACCTACCACGTGCCACACATTATTCTAAGTAGTGTATTAACTCCTTTAATCTGAATAATTACCCAGTGAGATAGATTATAATTACAGATGAGTAGGTAACTTGCCCAAGGTCACACACTAGTAAGTGGTACAGCCAGGACTGGAACCCAGGCATTCTGATCCAGAGACTAAGTACCACACTTTCTTCCTTCTTAAGTAAGATAATGATTGAAAAATATCTATTGGACTTAGCAAATAAGAGATTATTGGTGTCTGCCATGAGAGCTGTTTGGGGCTGAGTGTTGGGGACAGAGTCTAGATTATAGTGAGTTGAAGTTTTACAGTGGGAATTAAGGAAGTGTTGAGAGTGAGTGTAGATAAGACTGTGGTGAATTTTAAATGTGATTGAAACGCAATTGAACTGTACTAGAGAAGAACCTGCTGCCAAAGAGTAGCTTTAAAGAATAAGAGAAACCCAAGCGTTTATGTCTGTCCAAGTCAGGGATGAAAGGGAGGGTTTGGAGATACAGGATAAAGAGAGACATCCAGGAGAACCAAGAAGCTGGAAGATGCAGCAGAGAGAGATAGGGTTCAAGAGCACCAGCATGCCTTGCAGAGAGGAGGCAGTGGTTGGTATGGATGTAGTAGGTTGATGGGTTAGAAGTTAGAAGTCGGCTGCTCTTGCCTCTTGAAGATGTGGGTGTCTTCTGGGATTGAGTGGGTGGATGTTGAAAGAGGAACATTTGTGTGGGGTACGAGAGTGGAGAAGGTAGATTTGCAATAGGCTTACCATAGTTGAAATAAGAGTATGAAGGAATTGGGGCTTTTAGTGAGAGTGGTATGGGTGATGAGCCAATGTGGTGGCTTGTTGAGAATGTATGGAGGTCCAGGCAGGCTTATAGAGTCTAGAAAAGTTGAGGTCCAGGGTAAAATATGAGCATGAGGAGCAGGTTTAAGAGGAGTGAGTTGGAGGAGGAGTGTGGGGTAGGAGGCTGTGCCAAAATACAGGAAGATGGAATTTCCAATTTCTGGAGTGGAGAAGGACAAATATGAATGTGTGGCTGAAGTTGATCGGAAGATAAGGCCATTGGAATTAGGGAGGTTAAGTGTGTTGGTCATGTTGTCCACACAGATATTCCCAACTCCTAGGTGAAGATGGAGGTTAGATGACAGATAAACTAACTGAGTTTTAAATCTTTACTGAAATAAGCAATTTGGGTGGGAGTCAGAATGGAGAATTCAAAGAACTTGTTGCCCTTGGACTCCTGGATACCAACAGTCGTGCATGGGGCTTATTTTCCAGAGGTATTATTAAGAAATTTAGATGGAATATGTTCCTTGGGGATGTAGAATAAAATCAGGGTAAACCCTCCTTGGCTTATGGTAGCTCCGAAAGTAAACTTCTCCCTCACCCTTTGTAAGAAAGTTGGGATATTAGGAAGTAATTTTTCTCTGTGCTTCACTTGAAACAACAATGAGAAGGTGCAGATTGGGGTCTCCAGGCCATATTTGGGTGTTTTTCCTGCATCCAAGTGTTATTTCTGAAAGCCATTAAAAATGTTCCATGTGGCTGACTTTTCTTTTCTTAGTTGCCAGAGTGTGGCCTTTTTACCTTGTTTTGAAAATCCAAGTCAATTGCCGGGGTAGCATCCTAGCCTAATGTAAGGCTTCTTTGGGTGGTTCTGATGGAAAGCAGAAACATAAAGGTTTGGGGCTGGGCAGATTCCTATGATGAATGCCTCTAACCACTTCTGCAAAATTGACTCCCACCCTGTGTGTTGCAGGTGATATTTGAATCCGTCTCTTTGAAGGGTCATCCTGGCTACATCGCTGTGGACGAGGTCCGGGTCCTCGCTCATCCGTGCAGTAAGTCTGTTCCCTCCTCCTAACACAGCCTTGCTCTATGCCAGACTGGGCAGCTTGGAGGCTGCAATCCCCCCTATTTATTCAGCTCACAAACATCTCTCACTCTCTCTCTTTTTTAATCCTTCAAAAATGCTTACATACTCAACGCAATCAGTCCTGAATAAATCCGTAATTTCGCCGGCCTTTTCAACAGGCAGCACCTACAGGAATTTGCAGAAAGTGGCAAAACATCTTCGTTTGAATCGCTCTCCATTATTAAGGGAGTCTAAAGTCCTGATTGTTTATTAGTGGGATTCAGACCACTGAAGTGGAAGAATTAGAGGGCTTTGGATAGAGTCTTGTGCAATTGTCTTAAAAAAAGAACACCACCAAAGCACTGAGCAAATTACCACACTGTTCACTCACAGGGAAAAGTATCCCAAAGCTATTAATCCTTTAAAAGTAATTTTAAATACACTCATCAGCTCCGTGTAGGCGTAGGGAGAGATTTCTCACAGTGGTTAGTACTTATGGTATGGTTTCAAGAGTGCTCAAAGGCATCCCACTCCTTCATGTCCATCCAACTTCCCCTTGAAGTTCTCTCTCTTTGCTGTATTTAGTCTAAGATATTTGAATGTGTTTGAGCAAGGAACTGTGGTTCCCAAGTTCACTAAATCTCAGAGGGGACAAGTCCCGGGTGCAAGTAGTTGAGATGACATCATATCTAGAGACATTTGGTGGGGCGGACTGTAATCAAAAGGATGTGCATGGGGATTATGGCAGCCCCTAGGAGGAATAGCTGGGATATGCCAGCCCCATTAGTTTGTTAGTGTTCTGCAGATTGGAGATTTCCATTTAGTTTCTTGGCAGCCATCTGGTTCCAGGTAACTCCTAGTAGGGTTCTCTCTTCTCTCTCCTTATAGCCGTGAGTCATGCTATATTGGCTATGGTGCAGTTTGCTGTTCCTTCAAGAGACATCACTTGCCCTGGCCTTATATGCCTTCCAGTCCTCCCATTTAGGGGCTATTCTCATTTCAGCCCCATCCATGTTGCTTTAATTGAAGATGACTCTTCCCACTTCTGCTGCAGTGAATTTGTCAGAGCCTTGAACATCACTTCCTTCCCCTGGCACTAGAATGCCATTGTTTGACTCATTGTCTTAGATCACCTTCTCGGAGGAATTTGGGACAAGTTCCAAGGGATTTTTAGCAAGACGGTATTTTGGATAACCGTGTTTGATGTCTGTGCAAGAAAACTCTCCATCCCAGAAATCAACCAGCATCTCAGGAATACTGAGATCCTACTAGACTCTCCATTACTGTGACTTAAGATCCCTAACATCTAGGTTACTTCCTGAGTCTTTGGAATTTTCTCTGGTGGGTCTGTCCACTCAGTCATTCCTGGCAAATGTCTCTGCTGAACCAGACCTCGTGTGAAAAGGGTCCCAGAAATCCCCCCAGCTATGCAGGGTTTATATGGTGGATATGCAGATGAGCCCTCCTCACCAAGATTAAGTCTTCCCCTCCCTCTGACTGCTGGGAGGCAGCATCAGCTGCCCATTGGAGAATGATCTTTGACCTCAGACTGGGCCGCTGTGTTGGGAGATGTCTGCTCTACCTGCGGTCCACTTAACCTCACACACTGAACCCTGCACAGCCACCAGTTTGAAGCAGTCTCTCTGAAACAAGTCTCAGTCTTCCCCAAGCCCTACACGCATTCCATCCCCATAGAGGACACTCACCTTTGCTGCACCCAGCTGCCTTCCTGCTTCTTACACTGTGCTTGATTCTTGTACTTGCTCTTTCTAGTAGGTGACATTTGCTTCTTCCCTGGAGAATCTTGCCTGGGACCCCAGAACTCTGTGCTCTAATGAGCATTTTCATCTCCACCATGACACCAAACCTTACAGCTGTCTCTTTTCTCAGCCTCAGCCACCTTCAAGGCCAGATTGGTAAAAGGTTTGCCTTAACTCCAAGCACTGTCCATGGTTTGCCATTGCAGCCAAATGCTTCCTTCTTTCTGAGAAATCTCCATGGGAGAGGGTTCTTTGGAGGGCATTTGGATGGCTTTCCACCCCCCAAGTCTCATGGCTCCCCTTGGAATCCTCCTCTCATTAGGGCTGCTCCTGAATTTAGGATTCTTCTGACGGCTTCGTTCTCTTCCTGCCTAGAGTGTGGATTGCATGGTTATGGAATTGCTGAGAGCCAGTTACCCAGCAAATGGGCCATGGGATATAACTCAGGAAGACATGACCCTGGCTGTGTTCCTGCGTAATTCCTTTGACTGAGTTTAACCTTGACGCTCAGGTGGCTTAAGCTTAAACTTCCCAGAAATCAAAATGTGAGGACCCTGCAATAGTGGCCAGAATTGGGAAAACTCCATTTAACTATATGTATGCATACTGGCAGTGCATATAGTCCTTAGGGGTCTATCCACAGCTTATGAGTCATGTGGAGTTGAGTGAGGCCCACCAAAGGCCCCTTCCCAAAGCCCCATGCTCAGTCCATGTCCAGTCCAGGTTTTTATTCATCCTTTTTTTCAACAAGTGAATTACAGAACATTAGCCACGTGTCAAAAACTTCTGCTGGCCACAGGGGATATGTAAGTGATCAAGATAGGTTAGGTCCTTGTCCCCATAGTGTTAACTTAGCAGAGGGACAGAGGGAAGAAAGACACTAAGTAAGTAACTAATATTAAATAGTAACTTACATGATTTCAGATAGTGATAGTGCTATGGATATAATAAATATGAGCAACTGGGATCTCCTTAGATAGAATGGTCAGGAACGGTGTCTTTGAATATGTGACCTGAGCTGAGACCTGAATCATAGGAAGGAGTTCACCGTATAATGATTTGGGGAGGGGGGCATTCTAGGCAGAGGAAACAGCAAGTGCAGAGACCCTGCAATGGGAATAACATGATGCTCCTGGAGTATCCAGAGCAAAGGGAGCACAGGGGAAAGTCGTCTGAGCAAATCTTGGGGAGGGAAGCTGGGGCCTGGCCACACAGGGCCCTGAGCATCATCCTGAGCAGTTTAGATTTTAATGTAAGTGCAGGGAGGCACCACTGGTGGGGTTTATGCTGGGGGTTGATTTGATCTCATTTAAGTATTAATGAGATTTATTCTGCTCTCTGGCTACTCAGTGGAGAACAAGTTGAAGGGGAATAGACAAGTCGGGAGGCCTGTTAGGAAGAAAGTTCCGGAGTCAGGCAAGAGATGGTGGTGGCCTGGACCGGGGTGGTGGATAGACATCCATTGATCATTTACCATGTAGTTACTGAGCATGTACTCCATGCCAGGCACTGTTCTGGGTTATGGGAGTGTGTAACGCAGATGCATTCTGTGCCCTCATGGGCTTCTATTGAAGTGAAAGAGACTGAAAATGAGACAAATAATCAGGTAATTATATGATCTGTAACAGAGGGTATATTCATTTGCTAGGGCTGCTATAATAAAATGCCACAGACTGAATGTCTTAAATGACAGAAATTTATTTTCCCACAGTTCTAGGGGCTAGAAGTCAGGATGAAGATGGCGGGGTTGTCTTCTCCTGATGCCTTTCTCCTTTGCTTACAGATGGCCACCTTCTTGCTGTGTCCGCATATGCTCTTTCCTCTGTGTGCACATGCCCCTAATGTGTCTTTCTCTGTTCAAATTTTTTCTTCTTGTAAAGACATCAGATAGATTGGACTAGGGCCAACCCTAAAAGCTTCATTTTACTGTAATCACCCCCTTAGAGACCCTTTCTCCAAATACAGTCACTGTCTGAGGTATTGAGCGTTAGGGCTTCAACATACGAATTTTGAGGGGCACAATTCAGCCCATAATGGAAGGTAAGCAAGCAGTGCTATGAAGAAACATGGAGCATAGAGTTGGAGAGGGGTGGACAGATTAGAGATATATTTAGGAGGTAGAACCAACTGGTCCTATTTGATGGGTTAGTTTGGGAGCAGAGGCATCAAAAATGGTGCACTTCCAGATTTTTGGCTTAAGCTGCCGAGCAGTGCAGGCTGAGGGGGCGTGAGTTAGGGAGAATTGAGCATGAGCGCTGCCTTCCAAGGTACCGACCGTGCGTGGGTCCTGGGGGCTGCTCATGGGATCACGAGTCGTGCAAACTGCTAGTGGTTTCTGCACCGTCCTTTAGATTGACAGTGCTTTTTCCCCAACCCAGCCTTAATATTAATACATTTATGACTTCACTCATAGGTTTGTTAAAAATTTAACTATATTGAGAAATATACATTCTCTTTCTGTCCTCGGGCTTTGTAATTTTCCACTTCTGTCATCCAAAACATTTTTTCTATTAACATATGGTCAGTGTTTATCAATAAGCAGTTCTACTGAGTTTTCCAAAAGTTCCAGGGGGATTTGTGCCTGATTTGCAATTGTATTTCTTGATCAATTTGAGCTGAAGTGATGACTTTCAATGCTTGCCTCACAGCTTCCAAAAGTGACCAGACAACAGCCGTAATACCCAAAGGAAATTATTTTCTCTTACAAACTGAAACCTCTCGTCTATATTTTATAGCCCATTTAACATTTTTGTGTTATTCTAAAAGTATTTTAGCCGTAGTTACCCTCCGCCGTCGTTTCTCAGTGTTAGCCATTAGCAGGGCCACTGCCATTTTAACCATGTGCGATAAATGTCAGCACAATTTTCCACTCAGTTTCAAAGTTTCTAGTTCCTAAATTGACTTTTAGAATTTTTTACTCTTTTTTTTTCCATCACAACCTTGTGGGGCCATGTCACCGAGCCCAGGGAGAGTCTGCAGCACGTTTCTAATGTATGTACTGCACTCTCTCCTCGATTGTGTGGCTTCCTACTGAGCGCTGTCAGGTTTAAACAGCGAGATAAAGGGCACAATAATATGTCTTCAGATGCAGCACTGACATCTGCGGGAGTTTAAATGTCACCAACATGAAGGCAGTTTGCCCCAAATGCACAGCCAGTTTTCTGTTAACCCCATTCAGCGGGATCCTATTTTGGGGGTGCTGGGTCTCAGTGGAGAGTGAGCGTGGAATGCTTAAAACCAGGAGCTGGTGGTTGATCTGGGTCCCAAGGTCAACTGTGTTTGGCCAAAGGTTGGTGAGTGGAAGCTAGTGGGATAATTTCTTTCCCAGAGCTGCAGATGCTGGGGAAAAGAACAGCTGAGAGAGTGTAGAGCTCAGGCCTGGACTGGAGTGAGGGGATGGGAAGAGGATCACAGAGGCCAGGAACTCAGAGAGGTGGACCAAACAGGTCCCCAACATAAGGAAGATCCCGAGAGAGAGATCTGTCGTGAGCTGGGGATGAGGCCAGGGCTCAAAGAGCAGAGACAAGAGTCAGGCACGTGGAGAGAGTGCTAAGCAGGAGGGTGGTCTGGATAAGTTCCTGTGTTAGGAACCACCATCTAGGGCCAGCATTCACATGATCCTGCAGCGTGACGCTTGGAGGGCATGCTGGGTGGGGGCATCACTGGATTTATGGCTTTAGTTTAGGCAAGACTGGCCAGTGGGAATTGCTCCAGATGACTTACATAAGAGCTGGGTAACAGAAACCACAAACTTAAAGAGCACATCTGCAGACGTGTTTTGTTAAGTCTGCATGGTGTTTTAATAAAATTCAGTCAAGACTTTAGAGTGAGAGATTTCACATAAAACCTGGATTTCTTACTTGCCTTGAGAAATCGGATGACTGGCTACCCTGAGCAAAGCACTCTCGCATGGCCTCCATCTGCTGGATTTAAGTAACCTGCGCCCTTTCAATGGGCATGGAGTCTTTATCCAGTTCTCCTAAGTCCCCACCACTCCTTCTTGCCTCCTCAATGCTGGGGCTGGGTCAGATACCAGTTATTACTGTGCTTGCAATGATTTTCTTACACAGTCATGCACTGCGTAACGACATTGCAGTCAGTGACGGACCGAGTATACGACAGTGGTCCCATAAGATTAGTACCATATAGACTAAGTGCGTAGTAGGCTATACCATCTAGGTTTGTGTAAGTACACTGTATGGTGTTCGCACAACGATGAAATAGCCTAACGATGCATTTCTCAGAACGTATCCCCGTCATTAAGTGATGCATGTCTGTATAGAGAAATCTATTTTATCCAGGTCTCTATGTAAAGTGGGAAAATGAATGATGGGCAAGAAGGTGGTGTTTTTGCTTTGTTTTCCGACTGAACGACTTATTCATTTACATAACTCTCTGGCTCCTGTAGGTGCATGGGTTCAACATGTCTGCTGTAAACCATCCATGTTTCACCAGAATATTAACACTAGGGGCCATTAAGCCTCTAAATTCTCTACCACTGAACCTTGAAGGGAGAGAGGAGTGGGGTAGATGATGAAAGAATTAAGGCAAAAGGTCTGCGGCTTAGAAGGAGAAGGGAGGAGTCAGAAGCAAGCAGGGACATTGATCGAGAGAAGATCCATTTCTAACTGCTCATGTCCCAGAGGTTAAGCCACTTGCCCAGTGTACCCTAGGGGTCAGGAGAAGCATCCCTGTGTAAGATCCAGCACAAACCCTTGCAACATTGCAGCTAAGACTCTGCGCTCCCTCCCTACACAGAGTAGATGTTCCTTACCCCTATAGACCCGTGGCATAAATTGGCTTACAGGATTCACTCTCTTCCCCCTTGAAGAATTGACTTGAACTGATAGTTCCAAAAATAATTTTACAAAATTATACAGCAGAGCAAAAAGGAAACAATTTCAGACAATCAAAGCAGCATGACATTTGTCAGGTTGACTGGATGCAGGAATCTTCAACTCTGAGAAGCCCACAAGGAGAGGTCTTCCCTGGCCCTCCAGACTGTCGACGCCACTCTAGTCGTGGGCTCCTGAAAGTAGCCTGAGGGGTTGCTGAGCTGTTGTTATTTGTTTAAAAACCTGAGCAGAAGGTACATGTTTTCACGCAGCAAGTCTGCCTTATCATGCCAAGGTTCTTGGCTTTTGCTGAGCCTTACAGGTGGTGACACAGTTTGGTGGACCAGATAAGATAGTTCAAAGCGTGAAGGCCATGGGGACAAATGGCGAGGAAAGGGATCCCTTGTGAAAAAATATTTGGGAACAACAAGAGGAGCCTGGGGAGTCAGCACAGCCTTGCCCACGAGCCCTTTCTTGGACCCTGGGCTCCAGTGACGCCACTGACCTTCCATTGCCAGGATGCAAGAGAATGGGCTAGTTAAATGCTGAGCTTTGGGTTAAAATGGACGCGGACTGAATTCTTTTTCTGTCATTAATGCTGTGTAGCTTTGGGCAAATTACACTTGGTGAGCCTTGGTTTCTGCTTCTCTAAAAGAGGAATAATACTAGTGTCTGCTTTGCAGAAATGTTATGAAGTTAAATTAGATAAAACATGTAAAGCATTTATCACACTGCCTGGCATTGTAGGAGCTTTCAATAAATGCTATTATTGTTATTATTTATCTCTCTGGATATTTGACTCCTTCTGGAAAGATGACCAACGGCTTGTGTTGAGCCTCCTTGATCCTCTTAACAACTCTCCTTTTGATCTCATTCTGGGGTAGTCGATGCCTGGTTCATCATTGATTTGATTCATGCGGTAGGGATCCTCGGCACTTTTGTGCTTCAATGAAGAAACGCATTCTTCTAGACATAGGTTATCAACCCACTCATCTTTGGAGAGCTTACATAGGTGAGAACCTGTCTCCACAAACTAGGAAAGTGATGAACCCAAGTTACCCAACATAAACATGTGTTTAATTCTGGAATTGATTGCTTATGGACATTGTGAGTTTCTTTTGAAAGTCCTTTCTCCTGTTATGCCAAGTCTCCAGAGTAAATGTCCCACCTCCCTCCCATCCTTAGGAGATACTATAGCTTAGAGTAAAGAGTGTAGACGCTGAACATTTCTTGAATTCTCTGTGCCTCGGTTCACTCACTGTGAAACAGAGATAATAGCACTAATAACTGCATTGGGTTAGATTAGTTACTGTGTATAGACATTGCACATGACACCCATCACATAGTAAGTGCTAAGCGAATGGAAGCTACTAGTGTTCTCCTCTGCCTTTTCTCCCTTCTCCACTCTTTGCCTTCCTCATCATCTGCATCATCAGCATCATCACCAAGGCCAGGTGTGGAGATCTCAGGCCCAAAGGTGCTTCACTTCTGCTTTCTTCTTTCTGCTCACCCAGGCTACAGGGAGGAATCTTCTATGGTGAACCCCCCTCCAACCCAATTTCTTCTTTCAAACATGGCGGTATTGCCCAGCAGCTAATAATATGGATTTGAAGTTCTCAGAGACCTGGATTCATATCTTAGCTACCCTCCTTTCTGGCTGTCTGACTGTGCCAAACTATGGAACCCCTCAGAACCTTAATTTTCTGATCTGTGAAATGGAGATACTGCGCACCTCATGGATTTTTGTGAGGTTTAAGTGAGAGGATGCATGTGAAGCTCTTAGAACATTTCCTAGCGCATGGCAAGTTATCAATTAACAGTAGCTCTTCACTGAGCCAGGGCACTTCCCAGGCACAAATTCCACCCTGCCCAGTGCCCATCTTGAGCTCTCATCTACCAACAGGGAAGTGGTGCAGGCTGTTGAATTCTGTCCTCATGTGCTCTTTGGTTTCTCTCTTAGGAAAAGCACCTCACTTTCTGCGGCTCCAAAATGTCGAGGTGAACGTGGGGCAGAATGCCACGTTTCAGTGCATTGCTGGCGGGAAGTGGTCTCAGCATGACAAACTTTGGCTCCAGGTAAGGATGGGAGAGGCCCGCTCCTCACACCTGCCCATCCCTTTATAAGAGAAGAGGGTGTGTGCTGTGATGAAGGGCTTGGTGGGGAAGGGGAAGGGATATTTTTTAAGTATCTCTGTGCTTTGGATGATGCTCTGCATCTGTGATCTTGTTAAATCTTAGCTCTAATTCTGTTATGTCAGCATCAATATGCCCATTTTACAGATGGAGAAAATGAGACCACAAACATACAAGTGCCAGAACTAGAATTTGCCAACTATGACCTTTCCAAACTGCCCTCTAACCAACTTTGTCCTTTAAGCCCAGACTCCCAGGGCTGAGACAAACTGAATATTTTAGATTCTGGGTACATTTCCATTTCCATATGGCTTTTAGAATCAGTTTGTCAATTTCCACAAAAAAGCCCGTTGGGATTTTGGTGGGGATTGATTGTATTGAATCTATAGATCACTTTGGGGAAAACTGACATCTTAGCAATACTGAGCCTTCTGACCATGAACGTGGTATATTTCTTCACTTAAGATCTTCAGTAATTTCACTCAGCCAGGTTTTGTAATTTTCGGTGTACAGATCTTGCACATCTTTTGTCAGACTTATCCCTAAGTGTCTCATATTTTTTGATCTCATTGTAAAAGGCATTTATAAAAAGTCTCAATTTCTGATTTTTCATCACTAGTATATAGAAATACAATTGACTTTCACATATTGATCTTGTACCCTGCAACCTTGTTAACTTTACTGTGGCTATTTAAATTTAAATTAATTAAAATAAATGCAAAATTCAGATTTTGACAGGCCCAGTCACACTAGCCACATTTCAAGGGCATGATAGCCATGTGCATCTAGTGGCCACCGGGTTGGAGAAATCCAGATAGAGAACATATCCGACATTGCAGAAAGTCTTATTGGAGAGCATAGCTCTGGAAAGACATCACCTCTGGTTCAAGGAAACAAGAATATTGCTTGAAAGAAGCTAACTCCAGTTACCCTCAATTCATATGTTAAAAGATCTCTTCCATCTCTTCTGACTGCCGTAGTTTGGATGTTGGTCCCTCACCCGTGCCCGGCTCGCTGTGATGGGAGTTCATGGTGTCCCTTCTCTTGTTGGAATTGAGCCCATTTCCTGCAGTTGGAAAATCCCCCTGCAGAGAGAGCACCTCCAGGGGCTAACAGCTCCTCTTTGCTCCTTAGCAGGACAGTGGAATGAAAATAACAGTAATGCCTGCCTCTCTTGCTTCCCTGGGCTGTCTACACACAAAGAGAGCACAGTCAGTCACTCAAATATTAAGTAGTGCTATTTTCTCTTTTCATTATAGTTAGTATTAAAGTGCATCAGGCTCCCAAGGTGCTCTGTCATTTCAATAGCATTGCCTGGGTTGGGTCACGAAAACGAGATGAAACAGTCACAGTACTTTCAGCACCTCTATTTGGGTTTTCCAATTATTCTGTGATCGTTATTGCTATGGTTCTGAGTTGCATTCCCTAAACTTGGGCCTGTCGGCGGAAGGATGTTAAAGCAGAATGTAATGGAAGTTTGGAAGACGATAGATAGAAACACGTGGTGTGGAGCGCTTCCACAACTTATTTATTTATCTACTTTTCAGTGTAAACCAAGTCTCATTGCACAAAACGTTTTTCAGGTGGCTTACAATGGGACATAAAGCGTGACAAGATAGCATAAATTAAAAGTGAGGCGACATGAGATAGGAGGAAAAGAACACACTGGAACTGGTAATAATGCTAAAACCGCATTTCTTTATATCTGCTACTTACTGGTGGGTCACAAGCAGAGCCTACAGCAGCATAGCCACCGACGGAATAAAGGAAACTTGTCATATATACAGTACAGTTCACAATGTCTACGAGATAAACAGAAACCAATTGCTCGGGAAAATTCTAGTTGTTGTTCACATGGGCCAGACAGGGATGGTTCCCAGGAGTCCTCCTAAAGAAAACAGTGTGTTGATGTAAGGAACGGCGTTCTCCACCACGGTCGTATTGAGGGCACACAAGTGAGTTCCATAGGCTTGTTTCGCATAATGACGGTCTATGTAAAAGCAATTTAGGGGCATGGCTGAAGACAGAAGGGGTGAGGTGGGCAATACGATATGGCAGAGGTCCCCACTCTCTGCTAACCCATCTCCATCCTGGGATACTTTAAATGTATCTGGTGATTGAATAGATTCAACAACTATTTTTTCAAGGAAACCTCCCAAAACGTAGTCTCCCTCATCTATATTACAGGAAATATTGGGAGGTGGATGGTTTATGCTATGCTCTCTGGCAAATGCCTGCTTGGCTAGTTAAGTCCAGTTGTGTATTCAACAGTGTGGTTGGAAGTAGGTTAACATCTTTCTATGGAATATGAGGCGCCTGTCATGACATCTGCCACCAGGAGACAGCTGCAGCCCTGACCCAAGACTGGCTAAGGCAGTGGTGGATTTCTCATAAAATATTGCTTTGTATCTGATTCAGTGCCTAGAGGAGCAGTCTACAGACTCGCCAAAGTTCTGTTCATGTAACTGGGCTGGGGTGACTTAGCCTGAGAATTTCCAAAGCAAGTGAAATAAGCACATCGTGACCAAGCGTCTCCACAAGACACCTACAGCAGGTCTAGCTTTCAACAATGCTACTTCTTGCTGTAGCTTCCAAGATAAGCTGAGGAATCACTAAGTCACCAAAGGTAGAAACTTTTTTATCCACTAGTTTTTAAGTCGGGGAAACAAAGACAGTGACTTTCTTTCCAGAATAGTATGTCAGTGGCCCTTCTTTCTGGCAATGGTTAGGGAGCAGGTGGTGGGCTCATAGTTTGAAATAAATCCCTATCACCTGTGTTGTAGAGAATGCTTGCCTTCCTTTCTATAGAGCGGGAATCTATAGCCTGCTTATCTGTAAGTGGTTTCAGATCATAAATTAATAAGTTAAAAAGGAAGACCAGCCCATACCCCTGTTTTACACCCCCCCTGGAAACTTTATATGCTCTTTAGAAGACCCGGCTGGCTTTCATGGAATTACAGTGCAAAACTACTTAAGAATCAATGGCTAGAACCTGTGCAGAAATGTGTAAACCTGAGCCTAGAACAATTCTAGTCCTTCGGGGAAAAGGCTGATAAAGGACAATAAAAGTTATAAACAAACTCATCTTGTTCTGGGTTGATTTCTCCTTCAGGTGAAGAGTATAATGCCATGGTCTATAATGGAAGGTTTATAGCTTCAGTCATAACTTGTTTATTTCTTATGTGATACACTGGCCCCAGGAATACAAACTTGTAATTTTTCAAGCAAGTAGATGGTGTGCAATCTGAGTCTAGTCTACAGTTTGGAGAGTCCTTTAAAAAAAGAAAAAAGAGAACAACATTCAGGGTCCAACCAGGTGGAACTGTACTGACAGAATTATCAGTGTAGCACAGTGAATGTATGTGGGTACATCTTTTCTGGAAGATAATTTGGCAATAGATATCTAAAACCTTAAATGTGCACATTCTTCCAAGAAGTAATTTTACTTATGGGCATTTACCTAAGAAAACAACCAGAGACAGGGAGAAAATTTATCTGCAAGTGTGTTCAACAGGATGAAAAACTGAAAACAACCTAAATGTCCAGCAAAAGGGACTGATTAAGTAAACGCTGGAATGGAGTCATTAAGCGTCAGGTTATAGAAGTATATTTAGTGACATTTTCACAATATGTGTTTAAGTGAAAAGAACAAGTTAAAAAACAATTAATACGTTCAATATATTACTTTTTTTTTTTTTTTTTAAAGATTTTATTTATTCATTTTTTCCCCCCAAAGCCCCAGCAGATAGTTGTATGTCATAGGTTCACATCCTTCTAGTTGCTGTACGTGGGACTCGGCCTCGCGCTGGACGGAGAAGTGGTGCCTCGGGGCGCGCCCGGGATCCAAACCCGGGCCGCCAGCATCAGAGCGCGCGCACTTAACCGCTAAGCCACGGAGCCGGCCCAATATATTACTTTTTAATCAAAAACAAACATATACATAATAAACACATTTATACTAACAAATATATACATATTTATATAAATACATATAACACTATACAACACATATCAAGACAATAATTGATTGTGATGGTAGATTATGCTTTTTATTTTCATTTTTAATCTTTTCTGTTTCGTACAAATACTCTAAAATGAATATAGGTAACTAATATAAATAGAAAAAAATGCTACTAAAAAGGAGAAAAATGGTCACTTTTTCTAGATACAGAATATTCGAAGCATGGTAGGAAGCCTTGGCAGGGTGTTGGGGTAGCTAATTCCAACAGAAGCTGAAGCCCTGGCCCCCCACTGACAAGATGGGTAAAATTACCCTCAGGTTCCCCCACACCCTCATCACCTCCATCAGACACTGTTCATCCAGGAAGAAGTGTAGAAATATTTTGTGTGCATCATCTGGTCTTTACGGAATACCATGGCTCATGGGGCCACATGCTTCCACTTCTCAAGGGCTCCAGAGCAGGCCCTGTCAGCCCCACTGCAGGGCTAATTTCCAGCCCTCCCTACAAAGGATTTGCTCCACTGGGGGTTTGTACAACAAGTACTGTTCAAAGAGTCTCAGAAATGAGGCCATGTGTCCAAAGGCTCTGCACAGATCTCAGTAGGGGCAGCATATGTGTTTAGACAAATCGTGGGCATTAGACAGAGAGCAGACCCTAATCTGGCAGGAAAAGGCTCCTTCCCTGGGAGCGCATCAGCTCGACAGCAGCCACACCAGGGCTGAGGAGATAAGCAGACATGTCAGTTCTTACTGCGGCCGATTCTTCCAGTAAACCTATTTTCCAAGTCCCCAAAGGGCTACCGCTGGCTCCCAGGACTGTGAGTGTTCTGGAACCAGCTCCTCCTCCTCCTGTCTACATCTGTACCAGGTGTCTCTTCCACGTGGGACTTCTCTTGGAAACCTAGTGGCCGCACCACAACTAAACAATAATGATAAATTAACGATAATACTCATAACAGCTAATGTTGATTGAGTGGTTACACATATGATGTATTTAATTCTCATAACCAGTCTTTCAGGTAGATGCTAT